AAAATATATTTCAGTCTGGCAAATTTATCATTCTAGTCCGCAAAATACACCGCAATGCCTGCCAAATTTAATATAATGATAAGTAATAATTGCTAGTACTGATTGACAAAGGGTACTTGTTAATTAAGTAACTCTCAGAAGAGGATAGTATGTAGTGTCCATGGAAACTATATATATACATATATATATATATATATATATATATATACATACATAGACTTCTTAGTTAAGTACATAAATTTCTCACTGAATCAGAATATTTTAGCTTCCGAAAATGCACAACATCACTTTGGCAAAATGAGCTGTAATATTGTGTCCTATGAGCCCTGTTTGATAACTCTATTAACAATAATTTTGACATATGAGGGTAAATAAATATATATACTGAACATTCTCTGCCAATCTACTTATATTCATATGCAGCATCACATTACCATGACTTAGTAATATATGTTATTGGGTTTTGAAGACCTTAATTATAGCTCTAGCCTCTAAGAGTGATGCATTAGATTCCATTCACTATTTAGTTTGTGTTTTAAAAACATAATGTCAGATCACTCAGTTTTTAAATCCTTGAGATTTACCAATTATAATTAAGTCCACATTATCATGCCATATAAAGCATTTTAAAAATTACTGGATTAAATATTAACTTATAGATTAATTAAAAATTGCTATAATACAGCATTTTGACGTGTGTGTACTATGGCGAATTCGCTCCCTCTGAGATTGTTCTATAGATAATAGATTCTATAGAATTTAAGTGATAGAGACAGTAAAATGGTGTAAAAAGTGCCCAAATCACGTGGTTTTATCCACTAGAAGCAGGCGAAAGGACTTAGAAGCTATCATTGCTCAAGTATTTTCGATATTGTAACATAATATAAATTATCGGAACGTCACAATTAATAGATTTCAAGATGAAGTAAGTCCCGTTAGAACAAGCTGAATGGCCTAGAGTACCCTACCTTTCTTTGAAAAGCCAAACTTTTCAGTATCAAGAATGAAGAATAGTTTCTTGCAGCAATTCGAACTAAACGATAACAAACTTTTTCCAATTTCCAGATCGCCAAATCCAAAAATAAAACGATAATTATTCAACGTCGACATAGCAGCCTTTAGCAGGTGGCACGCCCTCCTTTCTTCAATTTCCGGTTGCTGGAAGCGTACAGTTGGAATTCCCTGAAATGTAGTGTTTAAATTTCCCTATATTAAGAGCGATTTTCTCGAGCGATATTACCAGAACAAAGAGTTTAAACCGAAAAAAATGCGTTTGGTTAGCTCAATTGCTTCAAACAGGTAAATTATTTAAGACAAATTGAATTAGTTGATCACGATTTGTTATAGCCAACCCCAGATAAGGGCAGATATGATAAGATCATAAGGGTGCACCGTCCAAAACTGATCCAAACGGGTTTATGGAGCTACAAAAGACGGCTTGAACCAAGCACAGAGTAACTCATATAATAAAACATTAATAGAGACTTGCGAGCAGCGGTGACCTCAATTATTTGAGTTTTAACTCAATTATTTGAGTTCACTTGTGTGCTTGTGTGTTCTCTGCAATGGTCAAACTTCCTCAGTTTAGGGAACGTTGATGAATTTTACATTGCTGAGTCACAGCTCGCTTTTTTGGAAAACGTAAACATTACGTTGCGCGGGTGTAAGGTGCTTAGGTGCATGTAATAAGCGAAGCAAAGTGAACAAACATAAGCGTGTAGGAAGAAAATCGCTCTGGTTCACGAGTAATTTTTTGTTTGTGCTCATCATTGCCAGAACTAGGCTTTAAAGCCTTGCAACATTTTGTCGCAACATCATGCAGCAGGGCCGGGAGGAATTTCTGGCCCCTGGTCAAACGTTTCCACAGGCCTCTCTGCCCCATCGAACGCCCTCTATAATCAATCACGAACAGACTTCCATTTTGGCGTCAGCTCCAAAGTTTCAAATTTTAAAGTTTTTCAGAAATTTGAATTTCTATTATCTTAAATTTAATTATACTGTTCAATAAATCATTGAAAAGTTATATTATGAGAAGGTCATAATGATGCTTTTTCCGAAGCAAAGACTAGAAAAGCATTTTTCAAGTGATAGCCAGACCTATTCAGCTTGTATGCAAATTAACCGTATCAATCACATGGTCTGAAATGGTTTTATTAGCTATTGCCAACCAACCAATTTGTTTCGAGTCCTTGTAATCCAGACTGGTCAAACCGTACCAACTCTGTCATCTTTAACATATGTTTCCAACCCCGATCATCCCTTTGAGGTTCATTGGCAGCCCCTTTGCTTTAACGGTGCTCATTCCAGTCCGATAAATATACTGGAGTACCTCAAGGATCGGTGGTGGATCCAGTTTTGTTTCAACTGTAATCAATTATGTTACATTTTACAACGAACACTGATAGCACACTGCGTCTTTTTGTTATTGACAGTATACAGTAATGACATTGTTTTTTATCAAGAGATTCATAAAATATGATAGTTCAAAGACAGTTGCAGTTGTTTAATTTTCTAGTATTAAACCAGCATTATCTGGTCCATATTGATCAATTTCGAGTTTGACGTCGCCATTTTTGACATACGACATTCGCAGCGGTGCGACTGATTTAAGACGTTTGCGTTCCGAGGCTAGTTGAGGGTTATGTGCGAGGGTTAACGCAATGAACCATTTGGCGCGGGCCTGGGCCGAGCGCCTCCATTTTGGTCCGTTTTTGTTCTCTGGAATATGAGATATAGTAATAAGTAATATATTAAAACGTAGTTCTTCAAACAAGCAATAACTGTAAGCCCCAGTGAGTTGGAACCACGGGACAAACGGGGCATCCTTTTGTTTACGGGGCGAGCGAAGGCAGCCCTGCCTTCTCTGTTACAATACAATAATCACATGTTATTCTCCATTTTCGGTTCAAGGTTATGCTATTATTTTGATGCGTACTCTCTGCATTAAAACTTAGCCGGGCCCGTTCCAGACGTCGAACTTTTCATGTGGCGAACCTAATGTCAATGAGCTAAAGCCTCTGTTGAAGTTCATTTGCATTCGATACAGCACATGAACAGTTCGATGTCCGAAACAGGACTTGACGATAATATTATTGAAAATTAATGCGTTCTTCTGTCGGATGAACCCGTGTTTACATTAAGGCTTCCTTTCCGTGTGGTTGTCAAGATATTAAATGAATATCTCTTTTCGTGGCAATCCGTCTGATATGGCGTGTGCTAGTTGCTTGTGTACAAATTCACCTGACACTTCACGCACGATCAGTACGATTTTCAGCAATTTGGACATCTTTTTTTTGCTCTTACTAACTGCCTTTAAAAAAATGGCTATAAAGGTCGCAACGTGGAGAACTTCACTTGTGTATCTCAGGCAAATGCTTAACCAGATTTTATATTACAACCTTAAATTAGCAAAGAGAATCGAAAATCTTTGTAATTATAATGGTGGCTCAACTTACGCGTGTCTTTTTCATCGATCAGTGACAGAAAACACGAAGAACGGGGTTCCTAAACGCCGCTTGGACGTGGAGATAACAAATACACTAAATGAAACCTTGAAAAAACAATGAAACAAAACTTGAAGAGTTTCAGAAAAATGGCCGCCACAAAAAATACCCGGTTAACGTATCTCATTTATTAAAATATTGACTTGAACTGAAGTGCTTATTTTTAAACGGAGCCCCCTTAACCTCTGAAATATTTCAAGGTATGCTCAGTTCTTACCTGGATCCCACTTTTAGAAACAATCAGGCATAATGCTTTGGTCAATTCTGGGCAGCATGAGAGCTCCGATTGCTATTGACTTCAGGATACGAAATATAGCGGAGAAGAAACCCATTGGAAGTCCCACAAAAAACCGGAAATACGAAAACACTAAGAAAACGTTCCTGCAGAAGGGGGAAGAGGGTATTGTTTATGTCTACTTTTTAAAAGCAGTTGCGACAAATTTTGCGATGAAAATAGGTAAATTGCTACTAATCCATTACTGATTATGTTCAAAAACATACAGATATTTCTCTATTTCTAAACAGCATTGTATAATTATAGTGTTACTATTATACAACTAAATACACTACAATTTTCATTGAATTAAGCTTTTCTGTGACGTAATCCTTAAAATGCTTCACCGCACGGAAAATATACATGCGAATGATTGACACAAGAGCTTGCATCTGCCCACAGTATGCAGTATTTCAGTTTAAATGCCACGGTTAAACATACGACTGTTGATCCAGATGCGCACGTTCTGACAGGGTGATTGATATTTTCGCCTTACTACATTATTCGATCCCACGAAATGTCATGCATGAAAGGAAATGATTAATGATTGTGAATGGCCGAAAATTATATTTACTCATGCGTTTTTGTGGCTAACAATTATTTATTTATTACGTCATGCCAGGTGATATTTCCTATTTTACAACTATTTCAATATGCATATAACTGAACACAATAAAGGCTTGCGTAACACAGGGGTTAAATTACTTCAGTGTAAAGACATTGTTATCAATAGAGGCCCTGTAACAAAATATAAGCTTAAAAATACGTACATAATAATTTACCTATAGTAACTATAACATATAAAGGAGGAGCAAACTTCATTAGAGTAATAATTCCATAAGGCCCCATTTTAATGAGCTTATATATAGTAGTTTTATGTTCTGTGGCAATCTATTGTACTCGGTTGCACCTGTATAATAGAATGATCGTTTGGATACCTCTAATCGTATTTTCGGCAAAGATATTTTGAAAAAAGTTTTAGTCCTATAATAAGTACGTGTTGCATTTAAGTTGAAAATAAGTAAGCAAATATGTTGGGACGAAACCCAAAAGACAATTCTTAACTAGTATTACAGTATGTTGTTTTCGCCTGTTACTGTTTTCACTAGTTAATTTAAGCCTTGATAAATCTGTAGTGCATGCGTTACAACGAGTAATTACAATTTAACGAGCATTAAATTTGTTGGCCATTTTGAGCAAAACTGTTGGCCATTTTGTTTTTGCTCCTCACCATATACGAGCTTATATACGGTGATATCTGGACTAATCAGATTGCAGAATAGCTCATACACAGGAGTGGCTATATTATACGCTAGGTGTCGTGCAATTTTGGTACAAAATCAAACTTGTCCCTTGTGATTACAAATCGCGCTCCCGCTTCGTGGTACTCGGGATTATTATATTACGTTGTTTGCTAATGATGCCGTTTGCTACACCCTCAGGCATATCAACCAGTTGAGGTAGGCCAAAGGCAGCATATTCTCCATCTAGTTCCATTTCAACCTCATGTATGCTTGGAAGACGTATGCCATCAATACTTAATTCTGCATAAATGGTCGGCGTCACCTTACCATTAACGTTTGCGGCTGAGTGGATAAATGGCTCCATCGATTCAGACTTGCACGGAAAGCTAGCGATATCTGCGCCTGTGTCGAAAAAGCTCATTTTTTTACTACTAAACTCATCTGTACCAGGGAGTATCAACTTCATTTTAATACGCTTAAGGTCTTTCACCGCGATCGGTTGTGTTTCGGCGTAATAGTCATGCACCTTAACAAAATGATTTTTTATAAGATGTTTGTTCATATATGCCCACTCGAGCGCCTCTTGCTTCTGATCAAATATTTGGCAGGTGATTTCACCTTGATCTGATTCACGGTAGGTCAGGATGTGTACTTCTTTGCTTTCTTCGCTTAAGTTTAACAAAATTTCATATTTATTATCGCGCATAAAATCATTGTGTTCCTCGTATTCTCTCCTACACTCTTTCTTGTGGTGCTTGGCTTGGTCTTTCCTACGCATGGTGTTGTGACAGGTACCGTGTTGCTGAAGTATAAATTTAAATATAGTTTTGATGGGTCGGAATTTTCAATTGGTTTAAAATTGAGTTATCACATTTCAAAAGAAAACTGGGAAGAAAAATTCGATATCAAAATTCCACCTCCCGGGGAAACCCACCATGTATAACATGCTAAAACTGCCTTAAGAGACTTGGAAAATTCTTCGGGACTATCAACACGGTCAAGGACGGAACAAAGCTAAGAGAAAATAAACAAAATGATTATTATAATAATTACGATACACTTTTTAGCGTTAGCCGACCCATCACACTTATAAATTTACCCATTCCTATATTCATATTTAGACGGGTTTTAACAATCAACGTTCCCGTCTAAGATGAGTTTTCCGTCTCTAATGTGAATTCGGCTGATAGCTTTCTTCGCGAGGGATAGAATACCTTGACGAAGAATTACGAAATACAATGCTTCATTCAATTCAAACATTTTTCAACGGACGATTTTCGCTTTAGACTATACAGTGCAAAGCACGATATTAGTTTTATAATAGATTTAAGCAATAGTCATTTACATAAGCTGCATAATTCACGAAAATTTGTGATCATTTTGGGAAAATTGTAGAAACATTGTCCCAATGTTCACATTTTATGTTAATCACGCGTATAAAAATTCAGGTCATCATTTATAAGAGGTGATCCACGCTATTAGTTTCAAAAATCTGTGATCACGATGGGACGAGGTAAAGACCTAACAGAAGGCGAAAAAGCGAGGAAAGTGTTATTACCAAAGAAATATCTAAGGGTAAAACACCCAAAGCTATAGCTGAAAAAATAACTCGCCATGTTGTGACAGTAAAAAGATTTTTTGCAAAATCCTCCTAAGAGGAAATCTCGATCAGATCGCGGGGTTTTAAAATCAGTATTAAAGCGAGATATGAACCGATTGAGGAGGAGTATCCTGACTCCCCTGACTTAAATCCTGTTGACAAAAATGACCTGTGGATGGCAATAAAAGAACCCGCAACTTCCATCCCTAAGTCTACCATTAAGAAACTCACACATTCAGAACAACCGACTTGTCAACAAATAATTCAATTCAATGAATGGAATCACTCCGTGTTCCATTTCTATCACTTTGTGAATTTTTAAAATTTTGTGTGTCAAAATTTGTGTGTGAAAATAGACCAATATCAATAAAATATTAGGCAATAAACGATTTTTCATATCTTTCTGAGGGAAGTAACGCCGTTTTTCCGACATGAAACTAATATCGTGTGTCAGTAGAAAAATTGCCAAACCGAAATAAAGGTGCACATTTTCATCAATAGAACTTTTTAAATCTCAATTAAATTTTTTAGAAGGGATATTTCAGAAGTTATACAACCTTGAATAGTTTCACGCCAGAATTGTGCAAATTTAATACCATTGTATGAAAATTTCTTTTGAACTAATATCGTGGTTCGCACTGTAATTTCTTACCTCGGCGATTTTAGTAATTTAGTTAAACATTTCCGCACGTAATACAAAAGTATACAAAATTTACCATCTTCGCATTGCTAAATTTTTTGTTTTTTACAAAATTTCGCAGCCAAACTTTGCATTTGCACCAATTTAAGAAAGATCTTTCTGACTGCGATAATTTAATTTCTTCTAGTTACTTCGATAAAAAATTAGTCTAAAGCGCAAGTCGTCCATTCGCCCACGCATTATTAGTCGGCGAACGTTGAGTTGAGGAGTATGAAGCTGAATTCATTTTGGGGTAAGATGTTGAATCAACCTACTGTTTTACTCATTTGAGCGCGCTGTTTAAATTTTTAGAACTTCAGATGCGGCGCTTAATCAAAGGCGGCGCTTAATCAAGGGCGGCGCTCAATCGAGGGCGGCGCTCAATTGGGGGCGGCGCTCAATCGAGGGCGGCGCTCAATTGGGGACGGCGCTCTTTAAAAAATATTATTTGTGAAGTGTAACAAGAACTTTAAACAAAAAGAATTGAAAGTTAGATGTAGCCAAATGTCCCCATTTTGACAGCGAGCATTTAGACTCCCCTGACTTAAATCCTGTTGACAAAAATGACCTGTGGATGGCAATAAAAGAACCCGCAACTTCATACTACAAAAATTGCAACATCATACTACCAAAACTAAACTTTTGTTTGTAGGCTCTTCGTATAACATTCAAAATAAACTAGGAAATAAGCCAGTGATCTTTGGAAATGTACCAGTAACCCGTTATAGATCTTTTAAATGTTTGGGCGTCGAGATTGATGAACAACTTAATTGGGAAGCCCATATAAATGCAATAAGCAGAAAGGTAGGCGCGGGAATAGGTGTAATGAGACGAGTTAAACCCTTTGTTCCTGAAGAAACCATGCACACCATTTACAAAGCTTTAATTCAACCATACTTTGACTATTGTTCCCCTCTTTGGGACAATTGCGGTCTATTATTGAAAGAAAAGTTGCAAAAATTTCAAAATAGGGCTGCTCGGGTGTTAACGGGGGCAGACTACAATACAAGCTCCTCTGAACTCCTGGAGCAGCTTAGATGGAAAAATCTCGAAAGTAAATATAAAACTAACAAAGCAGTTCTCGTTTATAATATCCTAAATAACGGTACTGCTCCGTGCCTTCGCGAATCCTTTTCTGAGCGTAGTGTAATTGAAAATGGTTATAACCTGAGACATTACGATACTGATCTATCAATCCCGAGACCTAAGAAAGAGTTTCTCAAAAGAAGTTTTAAATATAGAGGAGTTGTATTATGGAATAGTCTTTCGCGTAAAGCTAAGTCTGCTCAATCGATTCATTGTTTCAAGAGGCTCATAAATTCAAGTAGTTAATTCTGCATATTATATATAGTTTATATTTGTATAGTGTAATTAAGTAGACGCTCATAATGTAATTAAGTAGACGCCCTCCGTGGAAATCAGTCGTAACTGACGGGGCTAGTGTCTGTAAATAAAATTTTTAATAATAATAATAATAATAGACATTTTACAGAAAAAACCGCTTCGCACAAATCACTGGAATCTGCCTTCACGACTGACCTGCGCCTTACGAAAATTCTAAACACCGATTTAACAATAGCGTATTCAACAATTCTGACGGTGCGTCGATTAAGCGCCGAATTTGAAAATAATTAGTGCGGCGCTCATTCGGGGGCGGCGATAATTAAGAAAAATTTATCGCAAATGCGGCGCTCATTCGGGGGCGGCGCTTAATCGAATAAATACGGTATACCCAAACAGTGAGTGAATTGCGTGGAAGAGAAAGTAGGAAATAACGGGAAATAAAGAGGCGGGTATAGGTAAATTTTAAGCCCGATGAAAGTGTACTGAGATTTAGTTTGAGATGCGTTACTTTCATATTTGAGAATCGCGATCTAAAGTTTGGTGCAACGATAAGTGTGTATTGAATGCAGCTTGATTATAATATACGTACATTTGCCGTTGTTGTAATTCGACATCAATATCTGTCGATCGAAAATTTTTGCATGTGTGTTGATTTAGCCTTGATTTTATTGCTAAGTGACTCAAGGAATATCATTTTAATTAACAATACAAACGAATATCCTTTTGAATAATACTTGCTAGTGTTCTAAATACTAATAAAATATGCTTTGCCCAATTATGTTTTAAAGAAAGGGTACAAATACAGGGTAGCTATTATGATTAAAATCATTAAATGTGTACTATGGGCAATCTTTAGTTATTTAACTGGGTATGAATGGTTTTCCTTCAGCAAAGAATAGCTTACTCTAATTATATATGAACATTCATGCCGTACCCTGTGTGATAATATTAGAGTATATGCAAACATTACAGCACTTCTAACAAATACTAGTACGAAGGCGGTGTATGCAACTTCCCTTGCAACTTGCAATGCAAGTCTACTCCTGAGCCAGTTGTCAAATATACGAACATTTCTTACGATTTGCTAACGTTTTCTTAGCATTTCGAACACTCTTTACAAATTAACACCCTCAGGAAGGTTGCAAGGAAAATTGTATAGTATAGTGCAGCAGCACCTTAAAAAGGATATTAAAATCGACAAACCTGGGTTTCTTTTTTGGTTTTCCTTTCTGAGCCTGATTTCCCTATTTGATAAAAATCAATGTGAGTTGACATGGGATATGCACATAGAAATAAACTTTAAAAGATTATAATTATTTTTATGTGTAATTGACCGTTATTGATATAGCTTGAATTTTTTCACGATCGTTATTGGTTTTTTAGTTCTTTTTGTAAAAACACACATTTATCAATGCAGCTACATTCATTATACCTTTCGATTTATTGGTGGATGCTTCTGGAACATGGGTGCTTGAAAGACCGAGCGATTGCGGCAAGTACGGCGGTAAGACATCTTTCCCACTGCTTTCTTGCATAGAAATGGACTGACTTTTAATTATCCTTTGCCATTCCTTTTCGACTAAACATCTCTTGCATTCTTTCTTATCTGCACAATCACAGCCCTTTATTTCACTCATGAACGTTTTTTCAAAGTGCATAAAAGCATTGTATATATCAGTTACTGACATTGATACTGTATTATCGTCTTGAGTTGTGAACACGATGTAACCGTCATTTTCACACGAAATGTCGTAGGTGTAACCAGTTACGGACTCTTCCACGGCAAGTTTCTTAGGGTGGTCTTCAAACAGCTGACCATATGGTAAAAGACCTTTTAACGCAAAAATAATGCGCATCAAATCCATTAATTTGTGGAGGTCGGGTTTGCCATTTCCGCGTACGCGATGGTAGTTCTTCAGCACGCTCGACGTTTTCAAATCCATTTTCTTCAACATAAATAAAAATATCGATACAGTTATAAATGGGAGTTAAAAACTCCAACCCTAATAATGTTCATAATTAATATCAATTTTAAGAAATGGTATTGGGTGTCTGTGGTACCCACCCATCCTGGATGGGACACCCACCCATCATTTTTTTTTCATCATATATCAAAATTTAGAAGTTTGCTAAATTAAGTAAGATTTACTTAAGATTTAGTTTCTCACATTTACAAATTGTTTTAAAAACACCTTTATGGTGATATATTGTAAGCATCTTTTCCTAGCTTGTAGTTTTGCTCTTATAATTATTAAAAAATGTCCAACACCCATTTGACAAAATTAATTTATAACTTACCAAATGATCAAATAGGGCTCATAGGACAGTCCTAAATACATGTACCCAACATTCTCTCTGCCAATTATTTACTTATTCATAAATTATGCAGTGCGTATCACATGTTAACATCATTCCATATATCACTTATATTTTTGTGAGTGGGCTTTGAAGCCTAGCTTTAAGAATTGCATCAAAAATTTCAGTTAGAGTTTCCGGAATGGTTTGTCACTGATTATAGGTACTATAAATCTCTTAGGGCCTGTTTACATAGAGCAAGTTATCCTGGCTAGGTTAGGTGAAAACTGCATATAATGAAAGGGTTATTAGGTTATAAGGCTTTGATGTGATGCGCTTTTCACCTCACCTAGCCGTGATAACTCACTACATGTAAACAGGTCCTTATAAATGTTTCTTGTTTTAGACAAGTACTAAACTGATTTGTTGTTTTAGGCACTTAAGTACTAAATTGAGTAAATTCTGTGTTTTGTTGTTTAGAGATCGAAGTACTAAATGAAACCTGAACAATGAGGGGAAAGCAGTATAGAGCAGCTTAAACAGACATATTTGAAGTTCAACAAGAGTTTTAGGGCAGTTTGCATCATAACCAAATGTATTACAGTTTCTGAAAAAAACTTTATCTTCGTCAGGTTAAAGGAAATACATTGCCCTGAGGATCAAAGCAATTCAAAATGACAAACAGCTCCAAATTCCAAAATACATCCTAACATCCATGTATATGGTTCTGGGATATATAGTATATATATGGTATGCCAACTTAAAATATTTCCACCTTTACACCAAACTGAGTCTGGCCAAATAATGGTGTTTTTTAACTGAAGTTAAAATTGTTCATCGGTAATAATTTTTTGGAACATAGCTGTCTAGCTTAGATCTTCACATCTAGAAGTTGAAGCTTTGCCGATTACCGCATAATCTGGCTGAATTGATTTTGTTGGGACACCTGTAGTTTTTCAACCCCTAGCTCATGCTCCCCTTCCCCACCCTACCAATATGTCCACTCAATTAAACCAAACACTACATATTAATTAAGCTAAATATAGGGGGGTCATATATATACAATATAAATGCAGAGGGAAAGAGGGGGTGGTTGGGCAAAATACCCAAAGCCCAGATCGAGTGTTCAAAGAGGCATAATTATTAGATATTCGTGCAAGTATATGGCAAATCTTACCTTGGGCCTGTGTTTAATTGATTCTAACTTGCATTGTTGACAACACTTTGTGTAATTAACACAAAAGCAATTAAAATATTGCATCAGGTTTTACTGTGGATAAAAGTTTTCTGTTTTTAATAATTTGTCTTTTAATTTTAAACTAGACCAACTGTGAAACATTAGGTAGAGAATGTAGCTTCAGTTTACTCTTAATTAAATTAATTGCCATTATAAACAAATATTATTAATTAGTTAAATTAATAATATATATTATATATATAGTCTACATAATGGTTGAAATCTGCCTGACAAACTAACACAAATGTGTTCTTCGGAAGATTCCTATACATGCATGTGAAACAGACTGTAGTGGACGATTTTTTGTACGTAAGCAATACTTCTATATATCAAGCTATATATTAGGCAAAATAAGCCGTAATATTGTGTCCTATTAGCCCTATTTGATAACTCTATTAACAAGACTTTTGACATGGGGGTAAATAAATGTATATACCGAACATTCTCTGCCAATATATCTACTTATATACTCATATGCAGCATCAGATTACCATGACTTAATAATGTTATTGGGTTTTTAAGAGTGATGCATTAGATTGCATTCACTATTTTATAGTTTATGTTAATAATACTAAAACATAATGTCAGATCACTCAGTTTTTAAATCCTTGAGATTTTACCAATTGTGAGTCCACATTATCATGCCGTATGAAGCATTTTAAAAATTACTGGATTAAATATTAACTTCATTTATATAGATTAAAGATTGCTGTAATACTAATACAGCATTTTGATGTGTGTGCAGTGTACTAACTACGTATGGCGAATTCGCTCCCTCTGAGATTGTTCTATAGATTCTATAAAATTTTAAGTGATAGAGACAGTAAAATGGTGTAAAAAGTGCGCAAATCACACGGTGTTATCCAGTGGCATAGGCGAAAGGACTTAGAAGCTATCAAAAGCCTATCATTGCTCAAGTATTTTCGATATTGTAACATGATATACAATATAGATCGAAACGTCACAACAAAATGAAATAAGTCATGTTAGAACGTCAAGCTGAATGGCCTAAAATAACCTACCTTTCTTTTAAAAGCCAAACTTTTTAGTATCAAGAATGAACAATAGTTTCTTGCAGCAATTCTAACTAAATCGAGAACAAACTTTTTCCAGAACGCCAAAAGTAAAACGATAATTTTTCAATGTCGACATGGCACGGCTGAGCCGGGGCAATTACATTAAAACACCCTTCTTTCTGCAATTTCCGGTTGCCGGAAGCGAGTTGGAATTCCCTGAAATGTATGTCTAAATTTCCTTAGACTTAGAGCGATTTTCTTAAATGGAAACGTTAGAAAGTAAAATTATTACCTGAGAAAAGAGTTTAAGTTGAAATAAAAGCGTTTGGTTAGCTCAATTGCTTCAAACAGGTAAATTATTTACTGTAAGACTGTTTAAATAAGTTGATCAAAATTTTTGATAGCTAAACCCAGTCAGGCAGGTATGATAAGAGTGCACCCTCCAAAAATGACCCAAACGGCTGTATGGAGCCTACATAAGACGGCTTGAAACAAGCACAGAGTAACTCACGTAATAGAACATCTGTAGAGACTTGCGAGGGCGGTGAACTCAATTATTTGAGTTCACTGGCGAGCAGTGGCATTAAATGAAGTTGTGTGCTTGTAAGTTCTCTGCAATGGCCAAACTTCCTCAGTTTAGGGAAAATCCTTCATGAATTTGACATTGCTGAGTAACAGCCACTGAGCTATATAATAATTCCTGGAGGACCGGCTCCTTTTTTGCTCAAAAAGTGAAGCAAAAAACATGGCGGATTTTGGCCTCTGTGACGTCATTTTGACGTCACCTGGTCCCCTTTGCCCATGGTAATTACCAATTACCACTGACCAGGCTCAATTCTGAGCCCGCTACAGTAGATTCCCCCCTGGTTTTTATGAATATTTTGTTTCTTCTGACTGCCGTGAAACCTTGTTGTTCTGTTTTTTTCGATATATTTTTTACCTAACCCGTAATAAAGCGTTTATTTCGGTTATGTACAAGTCATAGGTACTGTTTTTGCAAATGCCGAAACAAACAAATATTGGGCGAACATAAAAAATATTTAATACGTGGACGAAAGTCGAAAATTTTACAATGATATGAAGCTAACAGGTTTTTTCTCTTTTCTTTGTTTTCAATTTCAATATACATTACTGTGTAAATTTTAAAAAATGCTTGAGTTTTTTTGGCATTGTCATAATTTTTTAGTGTCTTTTATGGATACCGATCCGACTTTTTTTAAACCTTGAACTAAAATATCATAGAAAGTATCCAGTTCTGTTGTCCTGTGTCCATGTCTGTGCATTAAATCCAAAGAAACAAGGCCTAAGCTCATGCAAGATATTGGTCAGCAGATTAGCAATTGTACTGAGTGGGGGATACAATAGTTATAACCAGAAGTGATATTTACATGGCATATATTTACATGGCAGGAGTAGTACAAATATAATAGCCTAATGAATTCACAAAAATGCAACTGTGCTTGTTCACCCCTCTATTAGTCAGTCTATTATCCAAAAACCCTGATTAGCCCAATAATTTTAGCCCTTTAATGGTGTGTGGGGGAAATGCATTGTCCAGGAAATTATAAAAGTTGTTGCAGATTGAAGACGCATTGCTCAATTAATGCATGTTTTTATGCATTTATTTATTATTTTTAATCTGAAAAACCATTGTAAAAAAATGTCAGCCAACAACAGCCAACAAGTCTATGTAGTAAAATTATCAGTACAATGTTCCACTAATTTGCATAACAAGCCATCTCTTGTTAAATTCTATAGCATCTTCATCCTGAAAAATGGAGATCTTTTTAAGATTAACTGTACTCAATATATACAGCACTCTGCACCCAGAGAGAATAACAATAATACTAATCAACATTAAGAGCAAATTAAATGTAGATTGATTATAAACAAGGTGCAAGAAGTCCATTAAACCATGATGAATTGACTTTTGACAAGGCAAACAAGATAACATATTAGACCTTTAACAGCCACTACAAGTCTACCAGAGGTTGAATCTTAGAGTGAAATATTTTGTATCAGCAGTCAGCACCTCAAAATTAAAAATATTAACTATTGATAAATTTCGCCTGACACAAAAAAGTTTTCCTATGAATCCTATCGTAATTAAGTCACGTAGACACGTACCAAAGGTCAAAAAGGCTAATAAAAGCATATAACTTTTTATCGTTGACGCTTTTGCAGTTGTTTATACTATAGTAGTCCGAAGGCAAAAAAGTTCAAAAAAAAAAATTGAAAACTGGCTCACCTGAGGCAAAAATAGCTTTCCCGATAAGTAAATTAAGCCATTCACAACGTCATATGTAGAGCAAGAAGCCGCTTCCCCATTTACTTTGTTGAACAGGGAAAAAGATAAACAATTTCATTTTTTTAGAGGAAATACGAAAAAAATCTATACCGAAAATCAAAAATATTTTCGTAAAGACCAGGAGGGAGACACATAGTTTTTCACTTTGTATCGCGGTATGTCAGTGGTAATTACCATGGGCAAAGGGGACCAGGTGACGTCACAAAGCTCAAAATCCGCCATGTTTGTTGCTTCACTTTCTGATCAGGAGCCGGTCCTCCAGGAATTATTATATAGCTCAGTGGTCACAGCCAATTACAGCCAATGAAATAAAAAGGTTAGCTGGAAAACACTGACACACTGACACTGACACTGACACACTGACATGGAAAACACTGACATGGAAAACACTGACATGGAAAACACTGACACACTGACACTGACACACTGACATGGAAAACACTGACATGGAAAACACTGACACACTGACACTGACACACTGACATGGAAAACACTGACATGGAAAACACTGACATGGAAAACACTGACATGGAAAACACTGACATGGAAAACACTGACATGGAAAACACTGACATGGAAAACACTGACATGGAAAACACTGACACACTGACACTGACACACTGACATGGAAAACACTGACATGGAAAACACTGACATGGAAAACACGTATCTGTAGGCTGTAGGCTGATCGGAATTGGAACTGGTTGGTTCTTTGACATCGGTTGGCCGATCGGCACTGGCTGGCTGATCGGCATTGGCTGGCTGATGGGCATCAGTTGGCTTTTTGGCATCAGCTGCTGGTTAATCCGCATCTGTAGGCTGTTCGGTGCGGTCAAAATTGGCTGACTTACTATAGCTCCTGCCGAATTGAGTAGTTGTTTGTATGATTATCTTCTTCATTGTTACCAACAGTGTTGGATTGATTTGCTGAGGCAGGAAACGACGTAGGCTCAGCAATGGCTTGTTGACAAAATGACCCATCTTCTAGATCTATGTATCCTGTCCTTGGATAAGATAAAACATTATCTGTAGTAGGATGTTTCCGTCTACCTCGCTTCCGGGGTGCTTGGTTTGGTTTTCTTCCACGCCCTTTGGGCATACCATAAGTAATAGCCCTACTGTAATTAACTCCTCCTCCTTTGCGCTGATTTGTTACGAGCCATTTTAACTTAAGTAAGTTTCCAAGCGCGGCAATTTTAGGCTTACTGCTATTGTATGGGAGCATATTGATAAGGAACTGTAGCCCGGACAGTCTTGTCTCTAATTCATTGCCAGCTAAGTTGAGTTATTTTTTCCTCCCAATCAGCAGCTTTATTCACAATATGAAGAAATATATCGCGCGCAATCCAATCTACTCCAGCTTGAGCAAAACGTTGTAAGTTTGTAACAGAGGATTTTCGTTTTCTTGTGGAAATCTTTTCAGATAAATTTTATCCAATATCATTGAACAATTATTGCTAGACGTACGCATGGTTGGGGACAGATTTGTTCAGATGATTAATGCGTTCACATTTAAATGTGTTAATCTACGGCGAGTAACCATTCCATGTCAGTGTTTTCCGTGTCAGTGTTTTCCATGTCAGTGTTTTCCATGTCAGTGTTTTCCATGTCAGTGTTTTCCATGTCAGTGTGTCAGTGTGTCAGTGTCAGTATCAGTGTCTGTGTTTTCCAGCTAACCAAATAAAAATAACATTATTATAACGTTATTTATTACAGTTCACTGGTAACAACTCGCTTTTTTGGAAAACGTAGACATTACGTTGCGCGGGTGTAAGGTGCTTAGGTGCATGTAATAAGTTAAGCAAAGTGAACAAACATAAACGTGTATGAAAAAAATCGCTCTGGTTCACGCGTAATTTTTTGTTTTTGTGCTCATCAGTGCCAGAACTAGGCTTTAAAGCATTGCAACATTTTGTCGCAACATCCTGCAGCAGGGCCGTGAAAAATTTATGGCCCATGGTCAAAAGTTTGCACAGGCCTCTCTGCCCCATCGATACGCCCTCTATAATCAATCACGAACATACTTCCATTTTGGCGTCAGCTTCAAAGTTTCAAATTTTAAAGTTTTTCAGAAATTTGAATTTCTATTAACTTAAAATTTAATTATACTGTTTAATAAATCATTGAAAAGTTAGATTATGAGAGGGTCATTGATGCTTTTTCCGAAGCAAAGGCTAGAAAAGCATTTTTTAAGTAATAGACCAATTCAGCTAGCATGCATGTATTCAAATTAACCCATTTCAATCACATGGTCTAAAATGGTTTTATTAGCTATTGCCAATCAACCAATTTGTTTCGAGTCCTTGTAATCCAGACTGGTCAAACCGTACCAACTCTGTCATCTTTAACATGTTTCCATCCCCGATAGTCCATTTGAGGTTCATTGTTTCAACTGTAATCAATTTTGTTACATCTTACAACGAACACTGATAGCACACTGTGTCTTTTTGTTAATGACATTGTTTTTTATCAAGAGATTCATAAAATGTGATAGTTCAAAGACAGTTGCAGACTTGCAGTTGTTTAATTTTCTAGTATTAAACCAGCATTATCTGGTCCATATTGATCAATTTCGATTTTGACGTCGCCATTTTTGACGTACGACACTTGCGGCGGTGCGACTGATTTAAGACATTTACGTTCTGAGGCTAGTTGAGGGTTATGTGCGAGGGTTAACGCAATGAACCATTTGGCGCGGGCCTGGGCCGAGCGCCTCCATTTTGGTCCGTTTTTGTTCTCTGGAATATGAGATATAGTAATAAGTAATATATTAAAAGTTAACGTAGTTCTTCAAACAAGCAATAACTGCAAGCCCTAGTGAGTTGGAACCACGGGACAAACGGGGCATCCTTTTGTTTACGGGGCGAGCGAAGGCAGCCCTGCCTTCTCTGTTACAATACAATAATCACATCTTATTCTTCATTTTCAGTTCAAGGTTATGCTATTATTTTGATGCGTACTCTCTGCATTAAAACTTAGCCGGGCCCGTTCCAGACGTCGAACGTTTCATGTGGCGAACCTAATGTCAATGAGCTAAAGCCTCTGTTGAAGTTCATTTGCATTCGATACAGCACATGAACAGTTCGATGTCCGAAACAGGACTTGACGATAATATTATTGAAAATTAATGCGGTTCACTGAACTTACGTGTGTCTTTTTCATCGATCAGTGTTTGACAGAAAACACGAAGAACGGGGTTCCTAAACGCCGCTTGGACGTGGAGATAACAAATATACGAAATGAAACCTTGAAAAAATAATGAAACACAACTTGAAGAGTTTCAGGAAAATGGCCGCCACAAGAAATACCCGGTTAACGTATCCCATTTATTAAAATATTGACTTGAACTGAAGTGCTTATTTTTATACGAACTGCCTTAACCTCTGAAATATTTCAAGGCATGTTCAGTTCTTACCTGGATCCCATTTTTGGAAACCATCAGGCATAATGCTTTGGTCAATTCTGGGCAGCATGAGAGCTCCGATTGCCATTGCCTTCAGGATACGAAATATGGCGGAGAAGAAACCCATAGGAAGTCCCACAAAAAACCAGAAATACGAAAACACTAAGAAAACGTTCCTGCAGAAGGGGGAAGATGGTGTAGTTTATGTCTACTTTCTAAAAGTGGTTCGCGACAAATTTTGCCATGAATATAGGTAAATAGCTACTGATCCATTACTGATTATTTCCAAAGACATACAGATATTTCTCTCTTTCTATAGCATTGTCTATAGTGTATACTGTGTATCTTTCTACCAGTGACGGATGCAGGGTAGGTCAGAATAAATTACACAGCCTAATTTACAATTCAAAATACCTTAATAACACACTATTAGGTACTTATTTCTAAAAAATACTTTTGCATAAAATTCTGCCAAGATTGCAAGTTAGAGCTGTTGTAATTTATTGGATCTCAATGAGCTTGATGGAAATAAATGCATCAGAGACAACCAATTTCATTGATATTACTCAATAGTCATGTCAACAATCTGTTTTTACCGCGTTATGATTAAGTTTTTTTCTGCATTTATTACTCAAGGTAGTCTTGGTAAAACCTTGTAAAGTTATTTGGGTTTCGGTGTATTTCTGTATGGGGTTCATGTAGCTAATAACGTATTTTGATATATTCCAAATTTGTTGGTGATTCCAGCAATTTTCCTCCACAGTTTTTCACCCATGCAATGAATCGTGTTTATGACTGTATATCGTGGTCACGGGCGAACAGTGTTTGGAGTTTTTCCTTTTCCTGTTTTAATGCCCTTGATGCAGATTAATTTCTAAAAGAGTAATAATAAAGGCAAAAGGCCCTGGGAGCGAAGTTAAAGGAGTAATGATCTTTTAAGATTAAAATTTCGAGTGAAAATGGCAAATATTTCAAAATTGAAATTTAAGCTCGCCGCCGGACATATGAGAGAACTCGTCAACTATAGGGATCGTGACTTCATACGCCTTTGCGATATCCTGCCGAAAGACCTATCGTTGACGAATTGTTTCTCCTGCACCATGAATTAAGGAAGGGTGCATGAAGAGCATAGTTTCTCGACTGCATACCTATTGTTTATTGATATTACATTCCTGGGGAAGTCACGGTCACGGAACACTGTCACGGAAGCAATGAGTAAAAATACTCTAAGCAGAAAAGCCACGCACAACAGAACGCTAAATAAAATGACACAAAAGTAGTTAATGGAAAGGAGTAGTCTTGTATGTAGAAAGGAGCAAGTCTTGCATCAACTGTTACCGGACATTAGCTATAACTATTGATGCGTTAAACCTATGGTTAAACAATGGATCAGTTTCCTGTGTGATTGAATAAGCTAATCAAAACACTTCACTGATTGTTGACCAACGAACGAGAAAAGGAAAAAGAACGAAGCCTTACCAACAGGCGAGTAAGATTTCCTTGTCTTCAGCACCTGTGAGGGTTCCGGCGAGCACCCCCCAACCTACCTCTGTATGTGCACGTAGGGAACATATTCGTTCAGTAAAAAGGCAATATTGCGCTAATTTTAACGTAAATACTTTTTCACCTACCCTGTACCACTAATCCACCCCAAAACCCAACCTCGAACGAAAGGGTGTGACAAGGCGAGCAGAAAAAAACAGATAACAGACGATATAATCCACAGAAGCACATAGCCTATATTTAAAAACATATAATAGTTTTACATGGACTTTATGAATTGCACTAGAGAGGTCATCGATGAAAACGATATTCGGGGGCAAATTCAGGCCACGGATGTAAAAGCATCTATACCTCATCCAATCATTTACTGATTATTACACATTGTGCTAAATTTAGTATTAAATCTACTAACGACAGAAGGATACTCACCCCACAAAAAATATCCAATCTGAAAACTGTGGTATCGAAGTCCCTTTCCCTATAGGAAGTCAAGTTGTTCTAAAAAACATGGCTCTTATCACAGGGGAATATTTTATATTGTTTATTTATTTCGTATTCTCATAACTTGTTTGTTCAAACACGTTCAAGAAAATTGAGATTATTTTCATCATCAAGGTGATGACTAGAAGCTGAAATGGAAGGAAAGCTGCATGTTCTTACACTTGTCTAATCCTCGATCGATTAGTTTTGATCTCGATTTTTTACGTTCATAATTTACTAACATAAATATACGAATATTCCACCCTTCAATAAAGCTTCTAGCGACGCCCTGTTAATCGTGTGTCACGTTAATAAGCAATATAAAGTGTACCCCTTTCGACTCACCAGCATGAACTGAGATTTGAATATATTGCTTGGAAAGAACGATTTGTCCCCTTTGAACATTCTTAACATGTTATTTCTGGGAAAAAGAGGAACTTTTGTTATAAGCTCTTTACCAATTAATATATGTATCTTTGACGCGAATATCAACTAAATACACTATATAACGGGCGTTGGAGCATGCATTCCCCAATTTTCAAAAGAAAAAGTGTTTTCAAGTATCTGCAGGGAAATCGAAAAATCGCCCTCATTTATGGAAATTCCCCAAATTCCCATGAATTTCCCCAAAATTTTCCAATCAACTATTGTTAGAGAATAGTTTCCAATAATTAGTTAGGTAATTCTCAACATACTTATGATTTTCCAGAAAACGGATGAGAGAGATGATGGACACTGTGGTGGCGAGGACTGAGCCAGCTAATGATGAACCTGAAGTGAAATGAAAACAAAAAGAAGAAATACATATGATTTGCAAAAGTTGTGCATGGATAATCTCAGCATCCCAAAACACAGTGCAATTAAGGTCCAAGTAGGAAGACCAAATATCTGACGCAAAACTCGTGAAACAACCCATAATTCAAGCATAATAATAACAGTGAGAATTGGTGTTTTATGTTAGCATTTATAGTTACACGTCCTTGGGTTTAATTTTTACTTCAATCATTTTGTCTTGGTTCCTTGAGTTGAGAGTACATCTTCCATGCAAAGGAATTGCGATGGTACAGAAGATTTACGGGCATTAAATAAACTTACCGCAAGCAGCAAGCATTATTTTATTCATATTCTCGTAGCTCGAGTTTTCAGAATCTGGTGCTTTCATAAGTTTTCCCAGTTCGTAACCAAATACAAACAAAATTACAACGGATAACTATAAATAAAGAGAATATGTGTCAATATAGGCTCTACATTGTGGAAGGATTGTCGAAGGATTTCAACTACTTCTTGACTTTCTTTGACTCTTTGTCTCCAGTTCCCCGAGCTAGGGCCTTGTCTAAGGCAAGATACTTTCTTTCTGATAGACTAGGAATACTTACTTCGTAAAGTAGAATGCAACAGATCATGACCACGGAGAGAATTTGAGTAGAAAACTTGAAATCTAACAAAATTTTTAGAAGAAATGGAACCGTAAATTTGTTTCGTTTTACTTGACATGATACCTAACCAATTCCACCGTTACGAATCGAAAGAAAGTACAAATCATTTACAAAGTTCGTATAAGCTCAGTTTCATTGCAAATAGGCGTTGATACTGTTGGTAGGAGTAGACATGATTTCGACAGGCCTGTTGCAAGTCACACGAAAACCCAGCTATACGCAGTGTTTTTCCGGATAAAAATTCAAAATAAATTGTTTACTAATAACAAGCCTTCAGAGTTCGTTTTCGAAAATTGTTAATTTTCTCAGGTGGAGGAGGAGATCGGACTCTCTGCCCAAGAGCTTGAAGATAAGAGCTTTGCCTGAAGTACTCAAACCCCCCCTCCTGGTCTATAGAAATGCTTCTGGCGCTTACCTTTTTGTGGGTTGTATATTTTTCTCAGGTAGAATTCTAGTTCTGCACATGGATACTGATGAGGACGTCTGCAAGTGATGAAAAATCAGTAAAAACTGATATAATCATAGAATGCTGTGATTAAGTTGTTTGACTAGGTTAATAAACAAAAGAAACATCGAATTTTGGCGCTTTTCGTCGATAAACAACAAAAAGTCGTATAATGAAAGTACCCTCCATATTGCATAGTGCGCTAAAATATCACCAATACCGTGATAGCATACTCACATGCCTTTTTTTAAAAAGTGTGGTCTACAAAAATTTAACTGCAATAAACCCCTCCAGCCTCCAGGAGCCGGTTGTATAGAACTCTTTAAATACATTTCTCTAGATTTAGTAGCATAACCAGCCTGACGATTTAGTTCCAGCCATTCAAATTTCATGCCATTATAATATTTCCTATTTTCTTTAGAAATCGATTTCATTGATCAATAAACACTAAAATATTAGCATGAAGGAAGTATTGTCGAGCTGGCTTGGCCGCTGACTGTATTAATTCCCAACTTATTTCTCAAACTGTTGTTCGGCGGTGCATGCATGACCACGAAATCAATTTAAAATCGTTTTAATACTTTTTACCTTCGCTTGATAAGGTCCTTTACGTAATTTCTGTACCAAGGCCTAACTAATTTCACAGGCGCCGACGAAGTATCTGTTTCCTAAACATTTATCATATCAAATGTGTTTCTCTAGAGCAAGGGAACATTGCAATGGGACAAATTTTACACTTGATTTTAATTTTAATTGTGATCAGCTAAAAAAGAAACCGCTTAAGTAGGAATTGTTGTCATAGAAACGTAAACAAGGTGGGATTGCATACTAACGTTCCGGGAAAATGACACCACACTGAAGAGTCCACACTCTTGAATCTCGTTACGAAGAACAAATATGAATTTCCCCAGAATGAATAACTGACATAATATTACTGGTATTGAAGACAATGTTTTGCCTATGTTAACTTGCCACGTCGCTTTCTAGCCATCGATAAAAAAAGGTTAATTAATACTTCATAATACATACTTGCGTGGTTAAATTGTGATATCACCATGCAGGGTTACATGAATCATGAATATTAAAATAGAGATTAATCGACCGCTATGAATTCTCAATCAACGAAATAGCAAAACGAATGGGAATGTACAAGATAGTTCTAGAAATTCATTTTGCGCATAAAAGACAGCGTTCCATGATGTTGGAATTCCATGAATTGCATGGTTCGTGACCAAGAACTATAGGTCAACATGACACGTTTTGGATGGGTTTTTGGAATCTTCTTGACAACACTGGAAGATATCAACTGAAACTTGATCGTGTGTTCTGCTTTCTGACTAGTTTTGATTTGATAGAGTCATATTAGCTCCTCTCCAATTTTTATTGGGCTAATTGAAAAAGGGTGATAGGGTTGCATTTATTTGAAATGAGCCTTTTCACCACCTTTGCCTTAGCGGAAAAATCATTGCACAGTATGACAGAATGTAAAGAGTCAAATAGTGTTAAAAGATTTTCAGAAGCCCTCTTTGTTTTCAGTACATCCTGTCCAATACGTTTAGAGTTCATCGTTCCAACATATTTGTAATTCATCGAATCATTGCGAGTTTAAAGAGTCAAAGAGAAAGCTTCAAAGATTTTACGAGAACTCATCAGCTAAATACCGCGTTCAAACGCTTTTGCGGCATGCGTAACCTCACCGTAGTTTGCGCACTGACTCCGCGTCAACAATGAAAACAAAAGACTGAAGATAGTACAAAAGACTGAAGTAGCGATCTCTGTTCGTAAAGCAATAGTAAAAAGATCTCATTTATTTTGACCGCGGTGTTCAAATCACCTAACATCAACAAACTTACATTACATCTTTGATAATAAGCCGTCAGGGACACACCGAAACTGCAATTAGAAAAAATATTTATGCTTGAGTCTAAACTGAAATCAAAGTATAAAATTAATTTATTTAATTTTGATATTGTCAATAAATGATAGGATATGATGCGATGGAACGAGGTTTTAAAACTATTTAAATTATATGCTTATATCATGCACGAGTTTTACAACCGATTTGCGCAAAATTAAACTTTCGGCATCGCATGCTAATAAAACTGGGTACGGATACCAATTTTAGCCATGCCGTGCCGTGCCGCGCGCGCCGAAATTGAGTGTAACTGTGTAATGTAAAAGAGGCTTGAGTGCATGTCGTGAACATGTCAAGGTGGCTGATGTGATAGAATATTTCTATGTGCATGTGTGCAGTCAATGACCAATTTGACAGAAGTAAAGACAATTTGGACTATTTTTCATCGGTGAAAATGACTTGTTTACAACAATTACGACCAAATGGAAACAAGGCTTAAATGTTCCTATTATACACATACTTACAAGATTGCTGCATACGGAAGCCCCATCAGTGCTCCGATAATTTTGTGATGCGTGGTCAAACAGGCAAAATAGGGATAATAAATAAAAGCACATTCAATCGCAATCCCAACGGTAAGAAATGCTAAATGAATAATTAAAACAGTCTTATTAAATCTCTGATTTAATAATTACCAAATTTATACCAGGAGGAGGTATCTATCTAGAATGGCGCTGCTTTAGTTAAAACAATTTGCGACAATTTTAGTCACAGAGTTTTTTAATCGAGCTGCATGTTATTGGATAAAAAATATGCTTTCAAAAATACCGTTTTCCCAAGCATTTCTGCCTTCAATCCCGAGCTTTGCGACTAAAATGACGATTGATCCAGTGGCTGCTCCGAATACAAACATCGTAGAAAGACGGTCACGATCAATGCCAAGGAAATCTACAGGCCTATTTACAGTAGAAACACATGTATTGTACCTGCAGTATTCTGTGTTAACATCAGCAGCATAGTCTGCAAATAGGCTCCGGAATATATTTTTGAGAATGCTCACCGCGCCACAGGCTGTCGCTAAATATTACGCTTGCTGTCTTGTACATGATGATTGTATAGAAAAAGCTAATCCAACTTCAACACGCTGTTGTATCTGAACTACTCGGCCAGGCCTGACTAGTTCATGAATAATAGCGTGTTGAAGTTGGGTTACCATTTTTGATTCACCCTGTATAAAACTTGCATATTTTTGCATATTTTTTAATATATTCTATGTCGTTTCCATGTAAGATGGTGTAAGCCCTATATATATCTGAAGCCTGTTTTCATCACTTGCAGACAGTCGGCGATGCACTGCGATCCATATTGTCGAATGTCGATGGCAAATGAACTAGAAATTTTTTTCTATGGACATTTTATGCATCGGCAACAATTAAAGCGAAACTGAATCGTGTTATTTACTCATTTCAATACCTCAAAGTCGTTTAAGCTTCGTTAAATCTTGGTAACCGGGCTCATGTCAGTCATGTGAACAGCCCCTGGGACATTTGCAATCCTCTGTTGATAAAATTAATTATATTCTCGCATAAACTATAACTTACACAACAACGCCTGGGCGACCTCCCCAAAGATCCTTCTTGAAGCTTGTTCTTCGTCGTAAAAATGCCAGTATCGTAATAATGATTCCCTGAAATATTTTGGACATTCTTTGTTTATTAATACCGGATACCAGCCCATTAAAATATTGAAGGAAAATCACCATAGTCTAGCATTTCTGTTGGTTGAAATAAATCCGATTTCATGACTGAATGAGATTGCAGATTCATGTATAAATGGCTTCGTTATATAAAGTACAAAATATAGTATACTACATGTACGAAGAAAATGATAATAGGCATAGCATTTTGAACTTACAGCAGGTAGTAAAAATATATGAGGATAATATGTTTTATCGACATCACACTCAACACTAAAAATAAATGAAACCTGAATATTATATATAGACTCGGAACTCTTGAAAACTCTAAAAATATAAATCCAAGCATTATTTATGGGCTCACGAGGGAAAGGTTAGTCAGTGTTAGTAGCTACATCAAACATCCTTACCTTGTAGTTGAACCAGAGTTCATGTTTTGCTATGAAATGAAATCCTAAAACGACATTATAAAATTGTGAATATGTCCCAATACAACCAGGGAGCAGGCTAGGTTGGTCTTATAACAACTTCGCATCTAGTGTGGTATAACAGCACAAGCTTGGCCTAAAATGAACAAAAGTTACGTGCCTCTTCTATTTTAGTGGCGTACCTCTTCTATTATACGGTTATACTATACATTTGATGCGAAGTTATGTAAAATTATGGTACAATCTTTAGTGTACGGCAGTGTGATATTTAATAACATCGACCAGGTTCATACTAGAGATGGATCATCCATCTAGAGGAACTTGGGGAAAGTAAAAGATAGTTCGTCTTCTAGTTCGTCTTTGTGTATGAATACGGGCAAACAGACGGATCACCCGTCAACACGAGTTAATGTCCGCATAGTCCGTCTATATTCAAAGATTTTTGAATGGGTATTTCGTCTTGACTTTCATCATCCGTGCGTTATTTTAAATAAAGTCTATAGTTTGTATTGTGTTTATACTCAGTACGGATGTCTGTGAGATGGATCATTCGTTCAGATGGATAATCCGTCTAACCGTCTTTAGTATAAATCGGGTTTCCATAATGGTTCCATTAGCCAACCTTGCCTTTCGTGTGCATTCAATTTTCTTTAGTTCAGTGGAAGAGGTTCAGTGGCAGGAACTCATGCATGCAAATAATGCAATGCTATCTCAGATGCCTTAAAAAACTGCAGTCAACAAAGTGTGATGAACTCGACTATATACTGTCAGTGATAGATTTTTAATAGATAGACAAATTAGACGTTTAGTGCAATTGTTTTTACCACACACATGCAATCTTTATCGGATCGACTCGCGTGTATTTACAGTATATTTCTTAAGCCATACTCTTGATCATTTACTTACGAGACTATATCTTGAAAATGATTTAGATACAGGAACTATATTCCATCAGGCCTGACCGCAATGTCTTCCTTTCCTTTCATCAGTAAACGGCCATAGCATATTTCGCCACACAACAATTATTTTGCACACTCTGAAACAACACTAAAGTAACGTTTTTATAGCATATAATAGTATTTTGCTATAGAGGACTGGTGTTGTTATTGAAACGAACAAAGTCTATCGAGCATAAAAAAATAAACAGGTCTCCTTATCCTTATGATTGGGTAATTCAATAAACCTGTTTCATTCAAGCATGCATTTCGCTCCATTACAATGCAAGCCCAGTAATCTACTGTATACAGGGTGAGTAAAAAAAACCTGACACCTTTGAAATTCAAATTAGTCGCATAGCGGCTGTAATGTGGCAGAAGTTGCTTAAAATATTTCATAGGTATACGAAGCATATCATATTAATGAACCTAAAGCATAAAGTTTGTTCTCATTGGGAGTTAAATGCATTCTAAGCTCTGCAAATACAAAAGAACAGTTTTATCAAATCGTTTTTCTTGATTGTACATGGGAATTGTCATATTCCAGCCATAAGTTCGCAGCTAATTTGAATTTCAAAAGTGTCAGTTTTTTTTTGACTCACCCTGTACACTTTTTAACATACGATATGCTGTTTAAATATCCAACACCATCAATTTTAGCTTCGCTACGCTTATAAATGACTATGAACTAAGGCATTTGTTCAGCTAGAAAATTTGCAATTGACAAGAGTGGCACGGTACGCATGCTAGAGTTAAAGCCAGAGCAGACATCATTTTTCGGTTTAGGTAATGTTATACTACGATGCTATTGCGTTACAGAATAACAAGTAAATTGATTCGCGTAAATTTCACATTGCTGATAATATAATATATCGAACTATTTCTCAGATAGATTTTACTCATAGATTTTACACTTACCAGGCAATAAAATAACATGCAACAATATTAAACATCTTAAATATAGGATAGGGTTGAATCGATATTGTTCAACCAATAATAAACTCAAGAACCCCGGACATTTTATAAGTGCCATCACTTCAATCATCACAGCATAAAAGTCTTCCTCGGAATTTTCACAGGAGATGTGATACCTGAAACCGTGGGTTTCTATAGCAAATATTTCGATTTGCTCGTTTATCGAAATCGATAAAGCGGAAGACTGTTGAGGCAAAGATAGATTTTAGATTAAAAGACCAGATGAGGAAGGCTCAGGAAGCATGGTTAAGTAGCGAAACATGAATGTTATTGTAAAATCTCTACACAAATTGTTTGATACGCATTCTCCAGGACGTCTCAATACTTAGGCTTCAAACTTGGTGCGAAAGATTTATAAGTACTGAACAAAATATGTCTTGCACAAAAGATTTAAAGCTTGCACATATGGCAAAAACGAATCGTCTGAATTAATAACCTTGTGTATACTTTAAGCCTTAAAATGACCATTTCGCAGCAGTCAGATGTGTACGATGAGCTGTCAAAATATTGCAGAATGCGTATTCAGAAGAAAATAGAACTTTTTTAAACTTACTCAATAGTTTTCTCTTTGATAGCGATACAGAAATACACGATTTAGAACCAGTGATTAGATTCACGGGTACAAACTTCATAAACATCAATTTCTGCAGTGCACTGATTCTCTAGCAATGTGGATTTATATTTCATTTTCAAAAATATTTGTTCTATAGCTGGATGTGAATTAAAGAGTTCTCGGTTATAGTCGATTGTAAAAATTTTCTAATAAAACGTGAAATTTAAAGCGGTAATTTTTTCTCAAATAACGGCGATATTGTCATTTTTGAAACCTATATTTCTACTTCTTCGTGTTAAGCAATTTAAGGGCAGAGTCTCCGTGATTCATATTATCTTCAGTGTATTGTATACGCAATGCAATTTCAAGATATATAGTTTTGCACTGCGAATAATTTGCATACTTTGTCATGATCAAGGAGCGAGCGATCCTGAGGTAGATCTCACCATTGTGACAGATATCCAGCCTACGTAAAGCAAGCTAATTTTTATGATTTTCATTCCTCTTGCAAACTGATTTGAAATTATGACTTTTTCAGGCTCCTAGACAGAACTGACTTATCATATACCTGGAGTAATTTGTCCTCGTGTTTTTTACCAATGCTATGAAGTATGCGAAATTGAAAGTTCTCATTTACAAATAAATCTAAAACAAACAAACGCGTTTCTGCAGTAAAATAATAGAATTACACAAAATGTGCCAAAGTGATGTAAAATGAATGGAATGATAATTCACTTTTTTCGAGTATCTAACCTTCGATTGGTTAATATTCGTCCTCTCGCCAGCTTTTGGGGAACGAAAATCAGTCAGCGTTATATTGAGACTTCCTCCCGAGGAGGAATAAAAATTGGTCTGCGTTACGATGGCGTTCGGATATCACGGAGAAAAATGTAACAAGCCTTTGTAATTGTGCGGACACATATACCTGCATGTGTAAATGAAGTGGGTGATGAGTGTAACAGGAAGGGGGTGGGTTGCCGATCCGAACGGAGCATGCGCTGAACATATCAAGGTTTTGTATATAAGTCGACCCACAACAACATGCAGGTATCTCAGAAAAATCCAACGCAGAATTATTTCAAAAGTCTTTTGATACGAATTCAAGACGCAATCCAATCGTTCAGGTAATGACAGTAACGATTATTACATGTATTAACTTTTCTTTGGATTGAAAATAGTTTTCCTTTGAAAACGGCAATGATTGGTCTCATCGTGCTAGGTAGATGCGAATAGATTATTGGCAGTTTAAAAGATTAAGAGTAAAGCAGTTATAGCGGCCACAAATTTCGGAATAAAACAAAATTTTTCGAATAATTTATTTGGCAAAATTAGTAAGAAAAACAAGGTGATATAAGTATAAGAAAACTTTCTAAGAAATGGTTCGGATATAATTGTATCATGTATAATGGAATATGATTGATGATTTTAGGTGCTGTGAGTTAGGAATTATGTATGTTTACAAAAGGTTCTATGAAGCGGTTTTTCCGAATATGTCAATAACACAAAAGTTGGGAGGATTAGCCATCCCGAATACCCTCCATAACTACGGCCCAGTTGTGCTGTTTTCTGAAAAGTTTGTTGATTTTATATCTCATTTTACTTTTCTTTTTAGACACAATATAACGATATGTCGTCAACTTTTGCCTGCTTTGCTCTTTGTCTCTTTCTTTTGGTAATATTTTATAGCGGTTAAATATCAGGGCTTACCTGAAGAGTATATTCGAATCTTAGCTTGCTTTGTTGGCGTTCTTTCGTCAGAATGCCATTTAACTCTATGTGAATGCGACATTTCACAACTAATTTCAGGGTTGTCGCTAGAAGCTTAATTTGGGTGGGGGGGGGTTGCATATTCATATATTCGTCTTATGCCCGACTGATTTCATTTTTTTGCTATTGTTTCTACGGTTGTACGAACAGGAATATATGATTAAACTTCTAGCGACCGCCCCCCCTGATTAGACTTCTAGCGACGGCCCTGACTAAACTATCTCGACCGCAATGATTTAGATCGCGAAAGGCGAAAATTTGGAAGTTAAGCTGAAATGTCAAAAAACGGTAGGTATTATCTGATAAATTAATCATCATCATAGCATGTGGGCACACTAAGCAGGTAGTTACCACAGAAAGTTTCATCAAGGATCTTATTAAAACATTCCATAAAGGCCCAGGTAAAACGTCGCATTTTGGTCGCGTGGAATACAATTCATATAATAGATGATGAAACGATAATGAAGTTTAATGAGGTTTATCAACTCATTATCAATTGTTTAATTGCATTCGACGCGATCAAAATGCGACGTATAATGTGTGTGCAGTCAACAGGGGCCGATTTGAGTACAGAAATATAAAGAAAAATTCAAAACCGGACTATTTCTCGTCGGTGAAAATGACTTGTTGACGACAATTACGACTAAATGGAAACCAGGCTTAAGACAGCTAGAATAAGCTCCTCTATAAGTTAGTAAATTTTTTTTTAAAACACAAAACGAAACACCATTTAGCTTAAAGGCGTATACATACATTATGTCAACCATTTTATTGCTCCCATAAGTCATCGGCATAAATAATACATGTGAAAATCATTCTCACTGCCAGTATTTTGTTCAACTTTTTAACTAGTTCCACAAGCTTCTTGGTATCCATCGTCCTGTCACCCCAGCAGGAGTTGTGATCTCTCTCGCAAATGCCGGAGTTCCCAGTGATGCAGTTGAAGTTGTGGTTTTTCCAAAAGTTCTTTCTGGTAATACAATCAACTCACAGATAAACAGTTTCTTAAGGGTCATCCTCCAGGACGCAAATGGTGATAATCAAGATGAAAGGGACCTTTTCTACCGCACGTTCCATCAAGTTGCCTGGTCTTACAACTCAGAAAATATGGTTTTGCCCATAAACAGCAACTCGTCTGCTATCAAGGCCATTCTGGATGGTACTTTCCCGCAACAAAATTTTGCTGCCACAGTTAAAATCCATGGTTACTATACTTTTTCCTGCCAAAATATCTAAAAACATGTAACGGACTAATTATAGATTTATGGATGTAGTTGATTTCTAGACGAATTTGCAATAAAATATTTGGCATAAATTACGCTGTTATTATCTGCATGAAATTATCGTATATCGCAATCGTCTCATAATCGTCTGGCGGTAATCGCGGATTATATGAAAATTCAGTATTAAAAAAACCTATGCGCAGTCGCAGTGAACGTGTAGTAATCCCACAATCATCGCATTAAGTAATATCCTATAATTATGCGAAGCCTTTGACTTTTCTAGTTATACCCACTGCGAGGTGCTCCTTGGTCTCCGTGTTGTTCATGAAATAGGGCGCAGTGGGTTTTTGTCTTCTTTAACTTCTTTATGCCATGAACTTAAATGTACTTCATTTAAGAATAAAAAGCAAACGCACTGTGACTATTATCTTCACTATGACTAGTTTGTGGTAACACATTGCTTCATTGTACAAAGGACTGCATACTTTTTTGAGCGTCAACACGAATAGTTGATATTAGGGGTTAAAGCTACGAATATATCTCCCAAGTGGTAAATCGATGGTTCGAATACTACCATAGCCGTTTTTCATTATGAACTTTTCGTGAAAAGGATAAAGTAAAATAAACAACCA